CTCAGGGACTCCAAGTGCATAGTGAGACCGTGGGAACGCACTCTCAAAGGGCCGCTGGGAGGGTCGACATGGAGGAAGTGTTTGAGGGGTTCGGCCCAGGCCTGGTCTGGAGGATGAGCTCAGTTGGTGAGTTTCTGCCAGGAAGCCAGGGGCAGGCAGCAGGTGACAAAGACAGCCTGTCCACAGGGAACTCCCACCTGTGCAGTGGAGAGGGACACCCTTTCTGGGGGCCCCAAGGGAGACTGAACGACAATGATCAGGCTAAAGGGAGAAGTGGGGAAGGACGGGCACAGCCACCCCTCCCCAGGAGAGAAGTTCCCCGGACCCTTCGCTGATGCAGAGGGGCCCTTGACCTTGTTTCTCTCCTTCAGCTGGTGGAACTTTTAGCTGCCACTCCCCAGCCTCAGGTCGAGGACTCCCCAGCCTCAGGTCGAGGAGCTTCTAACACATGAAAGGAGGCTCCTGGCACGTGAAAGCCTGAGAATGGGTCCCATCTGGGCTCAACCAACACTACATCCGTCACAGCAGGAGACTTCACTCAGGGACCATGCGTGCAATGCGGGCTGGTGTGTGCCCAGAGCCCTGTATGCCCCCACCCCAGTGGTCCCCACTTCACTCGGAGTAAAAGGCAAATCACCCTGCACACTCTGCTCCCACTTCTCCCATCTGTTCCTCACTCACTCTGCACAGCCACACTGGTCACTCGCTGTGCCGCAACATGCTGGACACATCCCCACCTCAGGGCCTTTGGGCAAGCCGTTCCCTCTGCCTGGAACACTCTCCCACACTCTTATCAGCGTGGCTGCTTCCTCTCCTGTCCAGGACCCTCTCTGTCCTCAGGGAAGAGTCCCAGCCCCCCAACCCAGTGTCTAGAGCTGAGGCCTCCTCAACCCCACACACCCAAGGCCCACCCAAGCCCCCTCAGACTCAACCACAAAGTTTAAGGGAAGGAGCCTTATCAAGGGGTCCTGAGGCACAGCATGGAGCCCCTGTGCCCCACCAATGATTACATTCCCAGGACCAGCCTTTGGGGATAGGTGGTCCCTTCTCCTTCCCATGGCAGGACCCGGGGTTCCCAGGTACCTGCTACAGGCAAAACACACATACAGCAAGTGCTCAATACATGTTTGAGTGGAATCAGGAGGTCTGGCAGGCCAGGGAAGGAGAGGTGTCGATGGTGATGAGGCAGGTTAATAAAAAGCTAGGAAAGTTCCCTGGCAAGTGGGATGGGGTAACTGAGACAAATCATGAAACAAACAGCTGAGCTATTAGCAGGCAGCTTACAAGTTGCAAGATCTCTTCTGTAACCAAAGGCACTGAGAGCAGATGGTTTCCATCTCCTCCCCAACCAGAGAGCAAGAAGCTTATATCACCCCAGTCAGGAAGACAAATAACAAGGACCCAATTATTGCCAGCCATACCTGATGGATGAAATCAGGGGAATAAATAAGCAACCAAATAAACAAACAAAAAAAAACAGTTAAGCCAGACAAATCCAAGACAGAGGTGAAGCTGACCAGAGAATGACCCCTGGTCCTTCTATATGCTCATTTTGATGAATCGGTGTAATAAGGGGGGACACACTTGGAGAGCTGATGAATATTCTGTTGAGATGCTCCCCTGAGATCTCCCCTAAAATTCTTGCCTTTAGAAAACATATAAGAACCTCAAGACAAAGGGCTCTCTGGAGCACGCCCTGTCTTTGTTTTCTGTGCAAGTATTTTCTTTTTTCTGACCTCCAAGGGCCGGTCTCTTGCCTAACTTTTCAAAGGGCCAAAGCAGTTCCACCGAGGCTCACTCCTGTTGCTGTGATCTTGCTTCTTCTACCCTAAGTCCTTCCTTTGTTTCACTGTCCCCAGTTTCAATAAACATCCTCTCAAAATCACCTGGACTCATAATTTTTTCCTGCTTGAAGTCAAGAACCCACACATCCCAGACTGTGTGCCAGGACAGACCTGCCCTAGCCTGGTCGACAGGGAGAGCAAGGTGGAAATAGAGAAAGATGGACAGAGAGCAAAACACTGAGAACAAGAAATACAGAAAGAAGGAAAGATGAGCAGAGCTGACCTTCACCACCTTGGGGTACCCCAAGACATCCTACACAACACCCAGAGTCCAGCAGGCAGCCGCCCAAGGTCTGTATAACCTAAGCACTCGCAACAGACTCTGCATCTCCCTCAGAAGCCGGACCCCACAGCCAAGGACAACCGCCGACCTCCTCAACAGCCCAGCCTGAGAACAACTCGCACCCCAGCGCATGGAACGAGCCCACACAGGTCTGTCACAGCATAGTTTCCGCGCATCTTTACAACCATTTCTCCACAACGGCCAGACCCCCACAGTGACGCTGGACCCCCCAGTCACAGCCCCAACCCTCCTCTACAGCCAGAGCCCAGAAACAGCAACTGGAGAGCCGAGGAGAGCTGGACCCTCTGCTTTCCCAGGTGCTGTCTCCTGAGTTCACAAGCACCACCCAGGCCAGCCACACTGAGTGCCCCACCCCAGCTAGTGGTTGCGGAAGGGCTGAAGATAACAGGGTCTTTTCAGAGAGGTGCACATGGCCCTGGGATTGTCATTCAGTTCCTGTTAAGAAGACCCGGGGATGAAAGTAGCTGCAGCATTGGGGGCAGGTGTGATATGAGTGGGGAACCCTAGAAAGGGTTCAGAACCACTGTTAGGAAAGATCCTGCAAGTGTTTCTGAGGTGAATGGATTGGGGTGAATGGGGACAGGGCAAGGCAGCCTGGAGACCAGGGAGGAGCCTGGAATCGGGCTCCAGGGAGAAGAGACACCCAGAAGCAGGGCCGGAGGCAAGGGCCAAAGGGAGGAACTGAGCGACCTTGGCTTGAGGAACAGCGGCACCTGGTGGTAGCTACATGAAACCTCACTCTCTTTTGTTCAACATTTACTGCACGCACACAACATTCCCAGTGTATTTGACACCCAGAGAGGACACTTTTAAAACCTCCTTCCTATAAAATAATTCTCAGCAATAACAATAAAACAAAACAACTAGTGGTGACTATGAAATAAATGCAGATGATGAAAATTTATTTCCTTTATGATATAATTCTTTATGTATTGTAATAATGTGAATTGTCTCGTAACTAACAATGTATTTAATAAAACTGACCTATCTGCAAGCAGAATTTGGGAAGCCACAAAACTCTACTATTGATGTGATTTTGTTCTTGATTTGTTCATTAGTTTAAAAACACAATTTGAAAACAGTGTTTGCATTTTAATGGTGTTATTTAAATTCAGTATTATGGTTCACATATGAACTAATATGCATTTTCCAAGCAAAGCTGTTATATCTCGTGTTTTTTGAGGCTTTATTGGTTTACATTTTAAACACAAATAAAATCTCCAAATGGTCACAGTGTTATGCTAAGAGCCCAGATCCAAGAAGGCCCCAGCGTATTACTTGTATTACTTGCTGATTCCAAAGAAATAACCCTGAGGACTGGGTACGAAAGACATGAATTCGTTAGGACTTAAGTGCTCACCAGGGGCAGCGTGCGGGTGAAGTCTCCTCAGCACGGGCCGCCCCGGTACAGGGCCACCCCTCAGAGAGCACAGAGACAAAGCAAACAGGGCGTGCAGAGTGGGCACTTGAGCCATGCGAGGTCAAAATGCCAGTTGTTTACAATCCGGGCTCACATCCAAGAAGTTTCTTTTTGGCCATTCCTTGACCGAGGAGCTGGCCAGGCCCCCAAGGTCCCACAGTCCACACATACGGAGGGCCTTCATCCTATTCCCATGGGGTGGGAGGGGGAGCTGGGGCTTGGGGAGGGGTCCAGGTGCTCACATTCCATACAACAGAGAATGACAAAAATGAGGGCGATTTGAATTCATGTCTTTAGCTTTAAAATCTCTGTGCTCTCCTTGTCTGTTTTAAATCTAAGTGCAGGAAGATATTGTCTGGCAGGGCTCAGAGACCCTCAAAAAAATCCCAAACCTTTACCAACTTAGTCTCCAAATGCACGTACATAGCTCAGAATCTTCGTGTGTCTGGAGTCAAGGGTCTAACTGTGGTTCTCTGGATTTGCTTCCATGTGGAATTCAAAGTTTATTAAAGAATATGCTCGTATGGACCTTATGTATCAAGTATTAAAACTCAACAGTAAATGGTGAAATTACAAGATCTGTTCCCAAGTTAATCTCAGTGTTGACTTCCTGGTTGCCATGCACTTGCAGGTCACAGAGGCTCGGCGGCCTCCTCTGGAGTGCCACCCACCTGGGCCTCCCACTCCTCAGAGCACCGAAGCCCCCCAGTCCTCCCCTACAGCTCCACAAATAGGGAGACAAACTGTCTTCCCAGAAGCTGCAGAGAATCTCCTTGTCTTTCCTGGGCTCTGAGTGGGTCCCGTGCCACCCTTGGGCCAATCATTTGAGTCCAAGCCAAGAGGAGGAAGCATTGGCTGGGGCCTGGGGATGGGGCCAATCACAGCTGAGGGAGGGGAGCTAGTTTAGGAAAGAAATGCAGGCATCTGGCTCCATTTCACCCCACCTGTTTGGTGGGTTCTGTGGGGAAACTGAGGCAACAAAAGTCTGGAGACAGGCCTTCTGAGTGGGACTGAGCTGGGACTTGGGGCACCAGGTGATGAAAACCCCAGCCATGACTGCCTGGCCCGGGAAGAAAGGTGGGGCAGCTGAGCAGGGTGCTGGGTGGCAGAATCACCTGAAGACACTTTAAAATGCAGCAGTGCTGAGGGGTCAGGGGTCAGCATATGGTAAAGTCTCTCCAGGTGATGCTACCACGCAATCACAAAGCCAGGGAAGCTGAGGCTCAGCTATGCACACAGCCCCTCAGCCCCGCCCCCACACAGCTGCTTTGGTTTCCCCAATCTGCCACACACAGCCCCTCACCCTAATGAAGTTGTTCCCAAGGAAAAGAAGCAGGAAAGCCAGCCCCTCATAGGAAAAATTGTTTCAGGCACTTTCTATCAACCCCTTTATTGTCCCACCCTCACCCCCCAAAAGATGAGGGATCTCAGAGAAGAGAGAAGCTGAATTTATTCCAATGACTGGGATTTGCCACCTGAACTCCCAGAGTCTTCCCCTTCAGGGCCAGAGGAAAGAGGATCTTTGTTGTAAGCAACAGCCCTCAGCTCAGGGCACCCCAGTACATACCAGCCCAGGACCAGGCTACACAGTGCCCCCTCCCTGGGGCTTTCCTCCTCCCCATCCAGAAAGATCAGGTGACCAGGTATGGAATGCTAGACCCGTGTGGGCCTGAGGCCTCAGCTATTCCCTTCACCGCCCAGCTGGCCAGGAGAGGAACTGGGCTGGCCCAGCCAGACTGGAGGGCCTGGGATGGGACTGAAGGCCCTGAGGAAAAGCTGGGGCTGGGGTGTAGGGGCCCTGGGCAGGCTGGTGCTCAGGCACAGGCGGCCTCGGCCCCCTTCCCACACTCTGGGGGGCCCTCAGCCTTGCTCGCCAAGCTGTAGTAGTATGTCCGCATGCGCTGTTCCACAGCCAGGAAATCTGGACGATCCTCCCACCTGTGGGGGGTGGGGCAGGTCTAAGCCACTGACCACACAGCCAGAACCCAAGTTCAGCTGGAGGTGGACATGTATGGAGCTCAAACATCTTGGAGCTATCGGGATGATGGAGTATTGGGGAATGGAAAGGTCTTCCTGGTATGAGAGACTGGAATTTGGGTCTCTCATAATAGAAGAAGGGCTGCAGACAGGATGGTGGGTGCCAACTAGTAAAGACGCAGGGAGCATTGGGCTGACAGCAATTGACCACGGGAGCTAGGCTATCGAGTGCTGAAACACTGAGTGTGTAATATGCCCAGGTCAGGGTGTATGGGTGCTCGGTGAGGCATCCTGTGGGCGTCAGTATGCTGCCTGTGGTGGAAAGGAAGGTCGGGGTACAGAGGCTGGTTTGGCTAGTGGGGAGCTGGGGTAGTAATGGTGCTGTGAGTGGAATATCCATGCACTGTGCCAGGATGTTAGGTGCTAGCCTCTTTGGGTTTTGGGATATTGGTGTATTAGGTGTCTCCTCATGGAGATGGGTTAACAAATGTTTGCATAAGGAATGCTGATCATGTGTTATTTATCATAAATAGGATGTCTATTTATTCGGTTGCTTGGGTGTCTGGGTGTCAATGTCACGGGTGTTGCCAGAAGAGGAGCAGATGTTGGGTGGGCTAGGAAAGGGATCAGAGCTGGAGTGGACATGTGTTGCATCGTTAGTACAGGGTGGCAGCTTGTTTGGGCCCGTGTTGCCTGTTGTCTGATGGGAAGTCGGGATATTGACGGTGTCAGGAGTTGGGGTGTTCTAGTGTTAAGCTTTGACCAGACAGAGGTGGGGTTTGAACGTAATTAGTGTTGCGTACTTGGTGTTGGCCTGTTTGGGTGATTAGGTATTGAGTGTTGGTTGGAGAACTGAGGGCTTAGATGCTAGAGTATTATCCAATGCCTGAGAATTGGTACCATATTTTAGGTGACAGGGTGCTAACTTGTTTGAGTATCATGGGATTGATGTGTTGAGTGTTGGCTGGTGGGACACTGAAGTTTTAGATGCTGGAGCACTGGAGGTCCACAGATAGGGTGGTGGGGTGCTGGCCCACTGGACCATTGTGGGGTGAGAGTGTTAGAGAGTTGAGCCACAGATACAGAACTAAAGATGCTGAGTGTTGGAGAGGCAGTGGGCTGGTGAGCCTCTGGGCAAGATGACACCAGGAAGAGTTTTGTTGGACTCAGGGATTGGGCACCAAGCCCTTCTGCCCCAGGCCCAGGCTGGGTCAGTTCAGCTGAGTCCCCTCCCACCCGCTGGCACTCACTTGTAGATCCAGCAGTCGTTCATAAGTGCATACATTTCAGGCGGACACTCTGCCGGGCACTCCATCCGCTTGCCCTGCTCGATGAAGGCCATGACCTCGGGGCCCTTCATCTTCTGCTCAAGCCAGAGCCAAGTGCACACGTGAGTAACCAGGGCCCCCACCCTCCCTACCTTCACACCCAACCAGCCACCCGCCTCTGCCCACGCCTGCCTTGTAGGGCTTCTGGCCATAGGAGAAGGCCTCCCACATAGTGACCCCATAGCTCCAGACGTCGCTTCGACTGGAGAATTTTCGGAAGTTGATGCATTCAGGTGCATACCACTTGAGTGGCCACTTCCCTGCTGAGCGGGCCTGGGGAAGGGGAGATACTGCTGGGTTAGGGTTTTGGAACCCGCCCCTACCCACCCTACCCACCTGGGCACCAAAGGGGTAGGTCTCACTGTATAGTAGCTATCATCAGCACCCAGTGCCTTGGAGAGGCCAAAGTCACTGATCTTGGCGTAGTGCCGGTTGACCAGCAGGACGTTGCGGGCTGCCAGGTCACGGTGTACAAAATTCTTCTCTTCTAGGTACTTCATCCCCATGGACACCTGGTGCAGCAGCTCCGCCACATTGCTGACGGGAATCTCCTCCCTGGGGTGCAGAGGAAGGCAGGGTCAGCAAGGAGGGGACAGCCCAAGTTCCCAAGCAGCCCAAGCCCATGTCTCCAACCCAGCTGGGCATGTGTTCGTGCTCCTGAAGCATCTTTTGTGTGCCAGGCAGGGGGCTGAGGATGTAGCGGTGAGCACACAAAGCCTCTGCCCTCATGCAGGGTCCAGGCTTTTAATTTCACCCACATACTGTGATTCCCAGTCTTATCATTTGCCTGCATCCACCATGTCCCTTCAGGGGGGAGCTCACGGGCATCTCAAAGATTGTAAGGATAAAGCCAAGCTCAGGATTGTGTATACACACAGAGACACACGCGGTGGCTCCTGCCTCTCCCTCCCCCGCAGCAGCTCCATCTTCTCATCTGTTCAGGCCAGAAGCCTCACCCTCAGAGGCTTCCCACAACCCAACATCCAATCTGTCAGCACACCTGGCAGCTCTGCCCTCAGAATCCCTCCAGAACCCTCCTGCTTCCCCACCCCCAACTTGGCTTCTGCAGCCCTGGCCTGGCCTCCATCATCACTCACTGGACCAGAACAATCACCTCTGCCCTCGCCCCCCATGGTCTGGCCTCCCCAGAAAGAGTCAGTCCTCCTCATCTGCTCACAGCCTCGCAGCTTTTCTGCCTCACTAAGGGTCAAAATCCAAGTCTTCCATGCACCCACAGGGGGCTGCAAAATTTGCCCTGTCACCCTCCTGCCCACATCAGCTCCAGCCACAGGCCCCCATCACTGCTCCTCCACCATGCCAGGCTCAGGTGCACCTTGGGGTTTTGCAGGCTACATGTGTTCTCTGCCACAAATCCTCGTGTGTTTTTTTTTATAACACTTTAAAAATGCAAAACCAGCCCTGGCTGGTGTGGCTCAGTGAATTCAGTGCCAACGTGTGAACCAAAGGGTCACTGGTTCAATTCCCAGTCAGGGCATATGACTGTGTTGCAGGCCAGGTCCCCAGTAGGGGGTGCACAAGAAGCAACCACACATTGGTGTTTCTCTCCCTGTCTTTCTCCCTCCTTTCCCCTCTCTCTAAAAATAAATAAATAAAATCTTTTTTAAAAATGCAAAAATATGCAGGACAAAAGTAAGCCATGGGCTAGTTTGCTGGCCCTGCTTTAGGTCAGAGAGAATCAACTTAGTTTCATGTGGGTCGTGAATTTGGCCAAGAAAGCTGGAGTGGCAGTCTTTGCAATACTCAGTGCTAGTACTTAGAAAGCTCTCACAAGCTGTGCCAGCCACGTCCTGAGCACTTCACAATATGAATAGCAACTCATTTGATCCCCACAAGGACCCCTTGAGGTAAACACTATGATCACCACTGTGGTGTAAATAAGGAAACTGAGGCCCAGACAAATTAAGAGACCTGCATGGTGTCTCAATAGTTAGCAGCAGGGCTGGGACTCAAACCAGGAGGTCAGGCTCTGTCCTGGGGCGTAAGTGTGCGTGTTGGGTAGGTGTGAGTGTATTGGTGAATATATAGAATGAGCACACACTCATAGGCGCAGCACACCCAGTGGACAGGAGGAGCCCCCAATCCCAACTGCCCGGCAACCCAGGGCTCACTTCTTCCCGACCAGGCACTTGTGCAGGGGCCCTCCACCCGCCATCTCCATCACAAGCATGAGGGCCTCAGCCTGGCAGACGCCGATGAGCCGCACGATGTAGGGGTTGTCCAGCTGGTGCATGATCTGTGCCTCACGCATCATCTCGTCCTTGTCCGCCTTCTCTGTACTGTGCTTCAACACCTTGACAGCCACGTCAATCTGCTTCCTGCCACAATGCACACCCACAAGGGAGGCAGACACGTGAGCCAGCACAGGTCTGCTCAGCCCGAGTGGCCCACCCTGCCTCCTCCTCCCTGGACTTGTAGAAAGGGTACTGGGGTCTGCCACCCAGATCTCCCTTCAGGACCCAGGCATTCAGTGTACACCTAGCTGCCAAGAGTGTCAGCTGGGGCAGAGCACAGCCAAGTCCCTCCCCTAGAACAGCCCCTCACTGAAAAAGAGCAGTTTCATTCAAAGTTACACTCTCCCCTGGGCAGCTTGCATTCAATGACGGGTGGCTGCAGGGGTTCAGGGGCCTCTCTATGATACCCCTGGGATTGGCCAAAGCCTCTGGGATCAGCAAAAGCAACCTAGCCCAGCCTCCCCTGCTCCAGGCTATTTCCCTTACTCCCTCTCAAGGAAAATCCTCTAGCAATTTCCTGTCCCAGGTCTGTTTTCGAAGCAAACTGACATCACATCACTCCCTGGCTCTTCGCCCAGTGGTCCCCCCACCATGGCCTTAGGGACAGCCATACTTGCGCATACGGTAGACGCCCTGGCGCACTGAGCCAAAGTTGCCGCAACCAAGTTCAATGTCAGCCATGAGGAGGTTCTCACGCTTCAGGAAGAGCTTCTTGTCCTTGAGCTCTTCGGGATCACTGTAGGGGCTCTCATACACGCTTGTGTCCATAGGCATTGGCCGTGGTTTCTCTGAGGGTACTAGGAGTGCTGAGCACACACACAGAAGTGCACTCCCAGGTCAAGAGGAGGGAGAGAGGCAGGGGGATGGGAGGGCAGGGAACCTCGGTACCCGTAAGGTACATGTCCTGGACAGGGGTGTACCTCCTAGAGCATGTACAGGTACATGGGTACATGTGTGTGCATTGCACACACAAGTGCACTCCTGGTCACATCTGCAGATGCACAGGGAAGCCACATCCAAGTAGACTCTAAAGGTGTGTGCATCGCTTTGCACAGGTAACCCTGTGTGCCCCTATGTGTTCATGTGTATGTACCCATGTATACTCCCACTGATGTTTCTTGTGGGGGGGGGCAAGCATGTCTGTACAAGTAACCATTAGTGTGCCAGCTGGAATGTGCACATCTGTACCTGTGTGTGCATTAACATGTATGCACCTAGATCTGTGCCTGCCCATGTCTCCATGGACACCATGCAGCCATGGTTACAAGGGCTCCAGAGGTGAGCCTCTGCATGCACACACAACCATGTATGTTCTCTGAGCACACATGTGGACAGGCTTGCATCCACACATCAAACACAAGGGCATCGGCAGCAAGGTATTTTAGGAACGTGGCCTCCAGGGCCCATCTGCCTGGGCTCCAGTCCTGCTCTACTACTGCCTGGCTGCCTGACCTTAGAAAGTTACTGTCCTTCCTCACCTGTAAAATGAGAATTACTGTGACTACCTCCTGTGGCATGTCAGAAGGATCTAACCAGCTCCTATGCACAGTGAGCTTGGAGTGTAACAGGCACATAGCAGGTGCTTAACAAATGTGTCTGTGCACTGAGCATCCCAGGCACAGCCACATGTTCTCCCCTGCATGTCTGCACACCCATGTATATGCACACAGAGAGGTGTGATGAGTGTGCCCCTGTGCAGATGTCTGTAGGTACAGTGTGTGCACAGGGCCAACCAAGCCAACTGCCATGGGCCAGGCCAGGACTCTGTGCCTCCCCGAACATACCCAGAGCCAGCCAGGGACCCTGCCATCAACTTGGCATGAAACACACCATGCATCTCCACTTCTGCCAACTCACCTGGCTCAGGGGTGTATCCATTCGAGTTGAGGTTGTCGTTCCGGCTCTGAGTGTAAAGGTCATGAGGTCAGCAAGAGTCAGTGGTGCCCAAGCTGAGGGCACCAGCACCTCTCATGAGGCCCAGAGCCTCTGAGGACTCCCAGGGAGAGTCCCCTGTTCCACAGCAACTTCACTCTCCACCCTAGCCTTGCCCTGGGAACAGGACCATGGCCCACCCACCAGCTCTGTCCCTGAGGCCCCAACTCTGAGATACCAGCTGACTCACAGGGCCGAACGTGGATGGGTGGGCTGGAAGTGTGGGAGCAGCGGCCCCTGAGGGAACAGAAAGGACAGTGAGGGTGAGGAGAGCGTCTTCAGCTCCCCCCAGCCCTGATGCCCGGCTTACCTGCACTGGCGCTGGTGTTGGGGCAGGCCTCCTTCAGACAGTAGATGAGCCCATCGGCCTTCAGTTTCAGGTACTCTACCAGCTGCAGGGGGAGGGGCCATCAGGGCCCCACTCCTTTCCCCCAGGAGCCTGGGCACCTCACCCTGTGTCTCCCCCAAAACAGAGTGGGCAGGTGGCTCACCTGCCAGAGTGTATCAAACTTGGTGCCCTCCGGTATGCAGTATTTGCCGGCCTTGTCCTGGCTAACGAGGTAGTGGTACACAGTTTTCCCATAGATCAGAGACAATGCGTACGTGCCTTGCTCTTTCCGGGGCCTCAGCCTGGTGGGGACAAGGAGGGAAGATCATTACCTGGGCCCCTGTTGTGGTGCCCCAGAGCTGGGCCCCAGTTCCCACACATACATACACTGGTGGCCCTACAGAGCCTCATGGGGAAGCAGCTGGGACTGGGGAAGCCAAGGTCGGTCAGGACCCACTCAACTTCCAGACCTACTCATCATCTCCAGGCCAGTGGGGCTCAGGGGTCAGGGAGCAGAGAAAGTCATCCAAGGACAGACATGTGACCATTCACAAGGAAATATTGGACCTCCAATAGCAGATACTCAACCTTGCATGACCTGATACTCAGCCACCTACATCTGGACACTTAGCCATGCACAGAGGGATACCTGGTCCTCTGTGGTGGAATACTTGTCTGGACCCTTGACTTCCACAAGGGAACACTCAGCCAATTACAGGGGACATTCACAGGGGTCACGGCTATCCACGGTGACACTCAGCCATCTGCAGGGAACACTTGGCCACACATGGTAGACTTAGAACCATTCTCTTTTTGAGAAGAAAAAGTCATTTCTACATGAAGCAACAAAGGTAAGTACAATTCTGTGGCTAGATCATGGGATACCTTTGTACAAACCAGAATGAGTCACTGTTATCAAAACAGACCTGCCAGTTATTGTAACAGACAGACCTTTGACAGAAAGAGACCCTTGATTGTTCTCTGCTATAAATTTGCTAAGATAAATGTATCTTCTGTGACTGTGAATGGGAATTGAGCCTCTCAAATATGGTGCCTTGGTGCAGTGAGAACCCATCCATCCACACACATGTGCACTCACAGATGGACCCGATTGCCCTGTGGGGGTGCCTGTGGGAGGGTTCAGCTTCAGTAAGAGTCCCAAAGACAGCATGATCTTGAAGAGGTTAGGAACCACCTAACAATATGCTCCTGAAGGCCCTTCCCAGAGGTCAAGTTTGTTTACACATAGAATCAACCAGTACCACAAATGCTGAAATTATGCAGAAAAGCAGCAAGCTTTGGCAGCACAAGGCAATCTATTTTTTTAAAGATTTTATTTTTCATGTTTTAGAGAGAGGAGGAAGGGAGGGAGAAAGAGAGGGAGAGAAACATCAATGTACAAGAAACATCTATTAGTTGCTTCTCACTCACCCCCAACCAGGGACCTGGCCTGCAATCTAGGCACGTGCCCTGACTGGGAGTCGAACCAGGGACCCTTCAATTTGCAGGCCAGTGCTCAGTCCACTGAGCCACACCATCCAGGGCTCCATTTTTTATTTTTTATTTATCGATTTAGAGAGAAAGAGAGAGAGAGAGAGAAGCAGAGAAAGAGAAACAGCAATTTGTTGTTCACTTTATTTATGCATTCATTGGTTGATTCTTTTAAGATTCTATTTATTTTATTTTTAGAAAGTGGGGAAAGGAGAGGGAAAGAAACATCGATGTGAGAGAGAAACATCAATCAGTTGCCTCTCGAACGTGCCCTGACTGGGATCAAACCCGCAACCCAGGCATGTGCCCTAACTAGAACTGAACCAGCGATATTTCACTTTTCAGGACACTTTCACGCCTGACCAACTGAGCCACACTAGTCAGGGAGATTGGTTGATTCTTGTCTGTGCCCTCATTGGGGGTCGAACCTACAATGCTGGCATAGTGGTACAATGTTCTAACCAGCTGAGCTACCTGGCCAGGGCCTCCATCCATTCTTCAACAGCTCTGAACTGTGGTCAGTGATATGCATGGCCCCAGTCTTAACTGAAGACCTGAGTGGTCTGGGTCTTTCTATCACACCCTGCACCCTGATCTCAGAACTAGACCAAGTCTGGGAATGTCCTAGGCCTCATGACCTACCAGAGATGTTCCTCTCACCACTGTCCTATACGAGGTTCTGTGCCTACCTATAACTTTGACCTTTGGCCCCTAACTATCTACACACTGAGAAAGCAGTCATTGACTATAGGAACCACAAGAAGACTCTGCAACAGTTTCCATCCAAAGCACACGTTGCCTAACTTTCCAGCAGTGTGGCTCGCTGTAACAGCTTCTTTCTCTTGACATTTTTCCAGCATGAGTCACTGTCCCTCATCACATCACTGCTCCAATTGCTTCTGAACCCCAGCACCAGCCTCAGCCTCTACACTGTACCCAGATCTTACCCCTGCCTCACCCCTGCCTTACCCCTGCCTCACCCTCTGTGGCCAGTACTTGCCTCTGAGCGTTCAAGCCAGCTTGATATCCAAAGCACCAGCTCCTTGAAGCCATTGGCCCTTGTTCTTCTGAGATTCCTCTTATCTCAATAGACAGGTTAACTCTAAGTTTGTCATAAACTCTGCTGTGTTAATGTAAAAACTGCAAATTGTTCCTTTGGGCAATGGAATTCTTTGTCAAACATCCGTAGAAGCTTAAAATATGAACAGGTCAAAGCTGAGCTGGGGTGGGAGCTCAGTAGCCACCTGCTCCACCTTCCACTCAATTCTTCCACCCCCCCCCTCCCCAGAATTCTCTGATACTTTCAGAGGGGGCTTAGGCAATCTGGGGTGTGTTTTTAACACCATTGGAATGGTGGAATAGTTGTTTGTACGTGGGACATAGGAAGGGAAGAGAGGAGAGAAGAGAAGAGAAAACAAAAACCAAGAACAACAGGAGGCAAAAACTGAGGTGATAAAAAGCTGAGTTAGGAACTTGCGATGAAACCAGGGAAGGAAATTTAGACTGTAAAACCTAAAAAAGAGGAAATTACATGTCATAAAGGAGAAAGTAGAGACAAGGAGGAAGAATCAGCTACACCAACAGGAGAGTCACACAACCTCCCTTGGTTGTGTCCAGTTGGAAGGGAAACCCAGATACTCTGGCACCTGAGTGAACATGTGCATGAGCGAGATATGAATGTATGTGAGTCATGTGACCACATGTTGGTGATGTCTTAGCAAGCATCACACCTGAGATGGGAAGTGTGCAGCATCTGGATAAAGACAAGTAACATCTGGACCACTACCAGCCCTCACTATGTACTAGAAGATGGAGATCCCTGGAAGCACACGATACAGGCTCTGCCCTCAGGTTTACAGCCCAAAATGAAAGAAGGAGCCCCAAACACCCGTGTTTGAGAGGCCCACCACCTCCATTATGATTTCCTTGCTCCAATCTTATGATGGACTTGGCAAAACTGGCTGCCTTAATTCCTCTCCTGTGGGCAGTCCCTTTTCCCACAGTGACTCTGGTTTTGGCCACTTAACTTGCTTTGACTAACAAGACATTAGTAACATTACACAAGTGTAGGCTTAAAAAGTGCTTGTGTATTGTCACATGCCCTCTGTGACTATTCTTAGGAACTCTGCAACCACCACCACTGACTAAACCCAGGCTGGCCTACTGGACAATGACAGCACTGCAGCCAATGCATCCCCATCACCCAGGGGACACACAGCCAACAGCCAGACACACGAGCATGGCCATCCCAACCTATGCAGTCCCAGCCCAGCTGACCCAAAGGAGAACAGCTCAGCTGACTCACAGAAGTGTGGCAAGTTAAAAAAAAATGTTGTTTTGAGCTAGTAACTCTTGGGGCAGTCTGTTACATAACAAAAGCTACATGATACAAATACAAGGCTAAGTTTGCCCTCTTAGAGAAACAGTCCTATGTTACTGTTGTTTAAAAGCCTTCCTTGCTTCTAAGCATTATCTGTAATGTGCATTCAAGAGTTCCCTCAGAAGCCTTAGAAACTTTACTCCAATTTTATCCTGCTTTAGGCAGGTTAAAAAAAATTATGTTATCAGCTGACAACAGAATTTTGTGTTGGAACCTACACCCTGTAGGAAAACTGTATGCAGTCTGGTACACACGAGAGGCCACACATGGGCAGGAAAATTGAGGGCGTCCTTGGACACAGCCCTAGGAGAGGTGAACGGGAGCTAAGATTCAGCCATGCAGGAACTCAGACTGTGAGAACAGAGGTCCCTGGGATTCAAAGACATCTTGAGGAGGGCACAGGACTCCCTGAGGTCGCAGGAAAGAGGCAAGCACCACATTTCTCTGGATTTTGAGGCCAGAGTTACCTCAGCTGACATCTGGGTAACATCTGTTATACAAGGGGACCTGTGTCCGGACCAGAAAGCAATAGTGCCAGGAGGGCTTTCAGACACCCGTAGGGTTATATAAATAGATTTAGGGATTCTTTCATAATAACAAACTCACAAACAGCCACATGGCCCAGCTAAAACTCAGACACAGGCAGACACACGCATTCACCCACATGTAATAAAAACTAACATTCATTGCACTTTTACTATATGCCAGATACTATATGTTTACTCTACATATATTAATTCATACAATTCTTATAACAGCCCCTTGGGGAGGCACTACTCTCATTCACAGGGTAGTCAGAGGCAGTCACCTCTTCCTCCCCTTAGCTCCACCTGCTCCAGCCCTCACTGACTTAGCTCCAAGCACAGCGGCCTCTTCACTGTTTCTTGATCTTACCAAGAGCCTGCCTCCTGATCTGGGTACTTCGCATTCCCATTTGCCAAGAACACCCTTCTGCCAGACAGCTGCACGCTCACTTCTCACCTCCTTTGGTTCTTCCCTCAAAAGCCACCCAATAGGAAAGGCCACTTCTGGCCGCCTAATCTCAACCCCCTCCTCACCACCTGACACACTTTGTATTTTGTTGATTCATCTTTTTTGTCTCCCTGCTCCACAAGGACAGGGAGGGATTTGTGTTTGTTTTGTTCGCTGCTGTGTCCTCAGTGCCTGAAACAGTGTCTGGCACATAGCAAGTACTCAGTAAATATTTGTGGAATGAAGGAGAAATCAACCTACTTGCCAACCGTCCCAGCTGGTAAGTAGTGGACTTTGGACTCCATTCCAGGCAGTGAGCTGTGTGTCCTAAACACTGCTGCTCCTCTCCCACAGGAAGGCCCTTTGCACACTCAGAAACACACCACCCACTTTCACGAGAAGCACAGGCATACCCCTCCAGTTCACTTGCACAGAGACCTGCCCCCAAGCCCCAGGCCACAATCCCCACATACAGGAACTTGCCGTCGGTCTGCGAGCCTGAATAGAGTTTGCGCTCGGCCTCTTCCCGCGTCAGGCTGCTGTGGTACCAGGGCATCCGCTCGTGAGCTGTGGTGGCAATGAGCTTCTCCACTTGGGGCGCCTGGCTGATGATGGCCTGCTCCAAGGCCTCACCCTAGGGAAGGGAGGGCCAAGGACACTTATAAGTGACGTCAAATGTTCAGCCACAGGAACCCTATTCCATATCCTGGACCCTCCCCACGGTCCCTATCCATGGGACCCCTCCCGAGCCCATCCGGGCGCACCTGGGGTAAGTCCTTCAAGCTGCAGAGGACAGCCACACTCCCCATCCATTTAGGCCCCGCCCATCCAGGGCCGAGCCCAGAACCTGCCTTCCAGCCAGCCCCAGGCTCATCTCTAGCTTGAAGTTCCGACACTGGTAGTCAGTCAAGCATGTTGATGTAACGCAGGGGAGCGAAGACCACAGCCACCCGCCCTACTAACCACCCTACTTTAGGGCTTAGCCCCTAACATCCTCTCAAACCCCATGCCCAGCCTAGCCCAAGCTTTGCCCGTATCCTCGGCCTAGGGCAACCGCCACCTTTCTTTGTGGCAGTTTGGGACCCTACCTTGGAGGCCTACTCCCAAATCTTGCCCCCAGCTAGCGCCCCTCCCCGTCTCATGGAAACAGCATGTCAAAGGAATCCAAGAATAAAGTCCTTTATTGTCGTTGTTAGCCTTCCCTCCAGCTTCCAAACCAGATGCAGCGCAGCCAAGCACAGGTTGGCGAAGCCGATCGTTGCTTCCTGAGCCCCAGGGCCCACCCTCCTCGGCCCCGCCAGCCCCAGGCCCGCAGCCTCCCGGTCCGGTGCTCTCACCTCCAGCTTCCACGTCTGGCGCACGTAGTCTCGCACCATGGCGTCGCGCAGGCAGTCGAAAACCCCGGGCTGCGGCTCCAGCCCCGACGGCCGGTTGCACGGCTTGCGCAAGTTGCAGGGCAGACCGTCTGGGTCCCGCGAGTAGAACTCGCAGAGTTCAGCGGGTCCGCAGTGCGCCTTTCCGCCGGCGATGGCGTAGGTGCCGTTGAGCTGGCGCTCGATGGAGAAGTGGTGGAAACGCAAGTCGTGCACCAGGGAGAGCACGTAGCCCCCCAGCGAGCGCAGGCACTGGCGCAGAAGAAAGAGGCCGTCGGCCATACCCGCCAGCTTCAAGTGATCCTCGGCCTCTGCGCGCGAGATGCTTCCGTAGAAGAAGGGCAGGTGTGCCGCGGGGTCCGGCATCGCTGCCGCTGCCTCCTGCAGATTACGCGCCCCTGAACTTCACCAGACCCTGCGGGTTCAAGAGAGATTGGAGCCACATCAGGGTCTCGGGTTCGCTTCCTGAGCTCCTCCTGAGCTCCGTCCGTGGGCTCAGAGATAGTGGGAGAGAGGCCACATTGAGGGGCATTCGTGCCCATCGTGTGGAGCCTTCTTTGTGCCAGAATCAACTTGGAGAGGAGCCCCAGCCTGGTGGACCCAGATCAGGTAGTCCCAAACTTTCCTCTGACCCTTCAGAGACTTTGTGCGGAGTGCCCAGACAACTCCACTGGCCCCCACGCACCAGCACCTGGAACCATTCATTCATGTCCAAACACGCTGAATTGTTACTGTGTTTCAGGCCGGTGCTGGACACGGCCCTTGTGCTCCTGAAGATAACTGAGGGGGGAGGGGATGCAATAAACAAGGAAAAAGACAAAATAATAATTACAGATGAGATCAGTGTTATAAAGGAAATAAAGAGTGGCATTAAGAGGGAAAGAGGCCACTGTTGCTGGGATGGCCACCTTCTGTGAGAGGGTGGCATTTGAGCTGAGAGCTGAAGGGTGAGGAGGAGCTGACTCTTCACCAGCATGGAGGAGGGTAGCACAGCAGGCAGAGGGAACAGCCAGTGCAAAGGCCCTGAAACCGGAGCAAGCTTTGCTTATCAAAGGAGCCTTACTCCATTAGCCTTCCCTGTGCTTCTCCACTCACTCCCCTCAGCATTAGAAATTCCCCCCTTTGTTCTTTCCCCTCTGCCTCTATGGGTAAGTTTCTAGAAAGTAGAAGCTAATCTGAATACCCATCAATAGGGGCTTGGTTGAATATATTAGGGTTTAACTCCTAGGTGAACTTTGATAGAGCCATTAAACAAAATGCGGAGTGTGACCAGGAAGTATGATCGTATATGGGGAGAAAAAATTAATAACATTTAGATAAATAGTGAGGCAGATCACCTAAAATTATCCTCCTTCATTTTGGAGTGAGGATGTTGTCTGATGATGCTAAATACTGGATATACTGGTGTCTGAATTCCTTAAAACTCAGAGAATGTGCACTTAAGATTTGCTCATTTTATTGTATTTGGATCCCTCTATGAAAAAGAACCATAAAATATTAAACCCTAGTTAATGACCTGTGTGCAGAAATGTTTAGGTGGGGACTGATGACTGTAACGTGCTTCGAAAGGCACATGAGGATAACACTGACTGCTGGGTGAGTGGATTGATAGAGAGGCACAGTCAAGTCTTCCTGTCATCCTGGTTCACGGTCCTCCTGGCGAGTCCATGCAAACACGAAATGAGCAAATACTGAGCCATGGCTCCTAGAGGAAGTCCAGGTTAGGTTCCTCCTTTGAGCTTCTGGTCACATTTTTATTAACCAATCAGTACCTAACCTTGTTGTGTGTGTACTTCTGTTCAAAGACACCTTGTATGTCGATTCATTAATGTGGAGCTCTCAGCCGGCGGTGCTATAAGCTTATCTAACACGTACTTTGCTCACAAGGCACCACAGAAGTGTCCTTCTTGTACTTAGGAACACTAGACAAACACTTCAGCACTGCATTTGAGGGCCAGTCAAACAGTGAAATCACCAACAAGCAGCACAAAAGTGTGGCACCAAGTGGACTGTAAGAAGGATACTAGCTTCCAGTACGGAAGCTAAAACAAGAAGGCAGAGTATCAGCTTGTTCCACCTGAGCAGGAATGTGCACGTCAGTCGACTCAAGTTTTTTCCTGCTCTGCCTGTGTTCTCGGATGACCGTGAAGGAGACTCAAGTACTAGTTTGGGTTTACAAACAAATTTTAGTGACATGCTTGTTCACAAATCCAGAATCCAGTAATAATGGGTATTGACTGTATGCGATAAAGTGAAAACAGCAAAATGTTAATTGTAAGACCTAGGGGGTGGCTCATGGGTAAACAACCAATTCTTCCCATTTTTCTGTCTATTTATTAGTTTTAATATAATGCTGAAAATTCTCTCTCCATTGCAGTTTCCAGCCATTTCTCTACTAAGGTGGACCCAGCAAGGCCACCCAGGTTGTGTTTGAGAAAAGGTCCTTCGGTGTCTTTCTCAGTTATGCAAATGTATGCAAGGGGCACAGAGAAAGCTTCCATGGGTTAAGAAAGGCTGCCTTTCCCCTGGGGGTCCGGGGATATGTAAGGATGGGTATTGGATCTGAGAGGAAGATACAGTAAGTCCTCACTTCACATTATCCAAAGGTTCTTGGAAACTGTGACTTTGAGTTAAACAATGTATAAGGACCCAATTTTACTGTAGGCTCATTGATACAAACAACTTCATATGACATATGTCTGGTCACAAAAAATACCACCAAACTTCTAAATAATGACTCAAAGCTCTTCTGATACTAAAACATTGAAATAAATGTGAGCTAGACATACACTTAAGAGAGATGAATAAAAACAAGCATAAGAGAGTTCTGTTTCAACTCGCTGTTTCCAGGTCTGGGCCATGGTGCTCGGAGCCCGTCTGAGTGTCACTCACACACACCCGCCCACTCGGACTGGGACCATGTAGACGCTGACTCCTTTCACGTGCTCACCTCTGGGGTGGGGAAGGAAACCAGAGTCCCTGGAGAAGACGCACACAGCCGTGGGGAGAAGGCACGACCTCCACACAGAGAGCAGCCCAGCTAAGAATCGAATTTTTTCCCCCATCAACATCAGAATGAAACAACATGAACACAAAACAGCGTTATCTGAGGGCCTGCTGTGCTGAAATGGGAATCATTTCAGAGAGAGGTCTGGGTCGGGGCAACCGGAGAAGGGGCCAAAATTTGCATTCTAACCAGACTGCTTCTGACACAGGGTTTGGGAGAGCCAGGCTTGAGGGGCTTCCTGGCTGTCCCAACGGTTACTGATTACTGGCAGGTGATTAATCAGGGACTGCATCTGTGCCCCCACCTGTAGACATAGGTCACCATTCTATAAGAGGGTTTAAGTGGAGTCAGGAGAGCTAGCATTCACCTAGAGAAACAGAAACGTGCATTCACACAAAAACCGACACAGGAATGTTACAGCAGCTCTATTCATAATTGCCAAAATCAGAAACAACTCAGATGTTTCTCAGCAAATCAATAGGTAAATTGGGGTGCAACCTCCACTGGGACACTGCTCAGCAATCACTCAAATGGAATGAAATGCTCATATACCCAGCGACATGGATGAACCTCAAAGGTATCACACTGAGTGAAGAAGCCAGGTTCAAAAACTACAACTGTCTGATTCCACTCAAGATGGTATCTCGAAAGAACAGAAGCACTCCTACATTCATTGCAGTGTTATTTACAATAGCCAAGATTTGGAAGCAGCCCGGTGTATGTCAATAGATGAGTGGATAAACAACTATGGGACATTTACACAGTGGAATACTACTTGGCTGTAAAAAAGAAAATTGTACCCTTTGCGACAGTATGGATGGACCTGGAGAACATTATGCTAAGTGCAATAAGGCAGTCAGAGAAAGACAAATACCATATGATTTCAGTCATATGGGGAATCTAATGAACAAACTGAACTGACAAGCAAAATAGAGACAGACTCCTAGATGGAGAACAGGATGACAGCTAAGGGGCGTGGGCAGAGTTTAGGGGTGGAGGGATTGAGCAAAAAAGGAAAAGGACTCATGGACATGGACAACAGTGTGGTTGTCCATGGTTGCGGGGGCGGGGGGGAGGGAGATATAAGGGGACTAAATAGTAATGGGAAAAAATAAACTTCAGGGGGAAAAAAACTGTCAACAGAGAACACATCAGTGGCTGCCAGAGGCTGGGGCCAGGGAGGGTTGCCTACGAAGAGGCACGAGGGAATTTCGTGACTGAGATGGCAGTTTCTCAGCTCTATGCATTTGTCAAATCTCACAGAATTTTTAATTAGAATGAGTGAATTTTACAGTATGTAAATTATAACTTAATTTTTTTAATTGAAGGGGGATAAAGGAGCTGGAAGGTGTAGCGTGCCAGGCACTGAGAACAGGGACTGAAACAGGAAACAGAGGGCTGTCTTCGTTCCAGCTCCCCTGCTAGACTCCTGCCCCCTCGCCCAGCCTCAGAGTCTGTCCTGCCCGCATGCTGATCTCCAGGCTCAGGGGGAACACTGCTCTCTCCCCCTGGAGGGCAGGGCACTAGGCAAGCACTCAGTGCCTCCTGGACCCTGGATCCCCTGAGTGATGGACACTAGCGACTCCCCTCCTGCTTGAACGTCTTGGACCCCTGGCTCACTTCCTCCCTGTCTTATGGTTCTGCTCTCTCCCCCTTCCCCAGACCTGGTCCTCTTACTTGGGCCATCCTGTCTGTGGCTAAACATGCTGCCACACCCACCTGCCTAGTCCAGATCTCTCTTCCTGAGGTTGGTGTGTGCTGCCGTCACCTCCTTTGATCTCTACCCCTGTTTCTATTAATAAAACCTGAGATCCACATGTAACTCACATGGTGCCTGTGGTTGGCTGTTTCCCACATGAGCTGAGCTTCTAGGCAATTCCTCCCCAAGGCTTCCCTTGCTCAAGGGCCCACTACAGCTCCCTTCTGCCTACTTCATTGACTCTAGCTAAACTCTTCAGCCCACCCCCTGCTGCAGCAGGTCTGTGCTATTAGCCTCCCCTCATGTTCACTTGCATATTTTGTCCACGCAGTGGCCTCCACAAGTACGCCCTTCCCACTCCTCTCCACTTTCCCAATCCAGGCAGCTCTGCCCCACAGATTCACAGTACTGCTCCGCACAGAGTAGAAGGGCACAGGACAAGGCAGCAAGATGGGGGCCTGTCCAGGAACCGTAGGGAGGGGTGGGGGTAGAGAATCTTGTCTCTGGGCAGGAAGCTGTGGTAGGAAACTGTTGGCAACACAGTTTGAGAAGCTCCTCCCCTAAGCACAGTAGCCACAGGTGCAGCCTGGGTAGCCAAAGGCAGGTTCCTGCAGAAGTGGGGGATGGGGAGAGGCTGACCCCTGGGGTTCAGTCCAGGGCTGTGAACCATGGCTGGCTACCTTGGACTGGGGGCCAAGGTGTCCCTGAG